AAAATAAACATGTAGAATCTTTTCTCATTTGCATTTTAGGATTGAGTCTAGTGCATATTAAGATTGCATTACATATGCATTGAGAGTCTTAATGAACTTTTGTTGGTGAGTAACAACTTAAGAGTTTGATTCAATGCCCATCCTTGGAGTTTTTTATTGCATTTAAATGAACATGAAGTTAAGGAAGAACCACGCTTGGATCTCATAGCTTGAAAGTTAAACTCATTTGTAGATGCATGATTTCCTTGTAGCTCAACTCTATGTATTTGAACTTAAACGAACATCTAATTACTCTCTCTTGAAGCTTGAATTGCTCACTCTTGGTAACAATAGAACATTCAAGTTTGCTTATCCTTTTTTAGACTTTCTTACAAGCTTGAATGGCCATTTGCATCACTAAATGGTACCTCACCTTGAACCCTAACCCTTTTTATTTGCCCCTTGATTTTTTTATGAGTGAGGCCTCTTGTTAATGATGCATTCTAGTGAAAAATTTTGAATGATAGAAGAACGACAAGTAGTAGCTTCCATATACCAATTGCTTTGGTTGGTTAGGATTGGGGTTTGATGGGATTATTTAAGAGTGAGGTTACGTGATGAGAAGAGAGAAAATAAGAGTGAGTGAAAGCAAGGAAAGAGTAAAAAGAACCAAAAAAGGTGAATAAAAAATAAAATAAAAATAAACTTAGGAAGCATGAGATAGAAAGAAAAGCTCTAGTAAAAAAAATGATATCCTCTAAAAAAAAGAAAAAAAAAAGAATAAAGAGGATGTAATGAAAAGAGAGCAATGTAAAAAGAAAAAAGAAAAAAAAGAGCTTCCTAAGTAGTAAAATGGTGAAAAAAGAGTGAGTTTGGGGGTGAGAGAAGTGTTGGAGGAAGGCAAACGAGAGCGAGGAAGATGAGGAGGTTCATGCGATTCCTCCTCCCTTAGAGACAGTGACAGAACCCCCTGGGCTTCTCCGACTCCCAACCTGCCAAATCGATGCATCATGGATTGATAGTGGTAGTGTCAGTGGCTTAGGATGGAGTTGTAAGGATCACATGGGTGCTGAACACTTCGGACTACGAGCATGTAACAGAAGCCGGTCAGCATTGCATGCAGAGATGGAAGGACTACTCTGGGCAGTCTCATGCCTGCAAGCCTTGAGGATATCAGCGGTACGGATCGAAACGGACTGCTCGGATCTTGTAGACATGGCGACCAATCCGGAGGACTGGCCAAATTTCGCGACAGAGATCGAGATACTCCAGCAATCACTGGAGGTCTTTGAGGATGTGAGTCTGTCTCACATTCCCCGCTGCAGGAATGGTCGTGCGGACGCACTCGCCAAGGAAGCAAGGAAGAAAGGATTTACATTTTCCCATATAGATCAGACCAGGTCACACGGAGATTCGGCTCGTCTGACTACCACTTGATCTAGTAACAATGGGTTGTTGACAAAAAAAAAAAAAAAAAACTAGGGAAGGGTAGAACATGGAAGTGAATACTTGTATACATGAATTGTTCTTCTTCTTCTTACTTTTGCAATTAGCTTATGCATCCCTTTTTCATGAGTGAAAACCATAGAGAAATTGAATAAACCTCACTTTAAAATTCATCTTAGCCTCTTTGACACCTAGCCCATTGGTTTGTGATTTAAGTTGATTGAGAGAGTTCACTAAACACTTAATGAATGTTAAAGAGTTGAGTACCATTGGTTTCTTGCTATTACATTGAAAGTTTAGCTCTAAGGCAATACATGAGTGATGAGTATGGCTAGCTATTTTAAAGTAGAGATCATTGGTGCACTTTAAAACTACTTGGATGGACATTGAGTTGAATGCTTTTGTTGTTATTCTAAGACTTAAGTTCTCATTTTCAAACTTCTTCCCTTGTTTTGTTTTGAAAATTTACTTGTGGACAAGTAAAGATCTAGTTTGGGGGAGTAAATTTGATAAGGGTTTTTAAGCCTAAGAGCAAATCAATGTAATATTTAAGATTGTCGAACCACAGGGAACTAGTGATCTAAACACTAAGAATACACAAACTTTCTTAATCTAAGCAAATAAGAGAGGTGGATGATTGTAACAAGCTAAGATCCTAAAAATATAAACAAAGATGATCTCAAATCCAATCAAGAAATAAATGCAAGAACACTCTCAATCAAATGATAAGGTAGAATCCATGGGATTAAGGCAATTGATCTAAAGCAATTAAAGTTTCAATCAAAACGTTCCTTAAGTCTAAACAACTTAACTAAGCAAATTCTAGGTCTAGACAAATGCTCATTTGCTTTCATTAATCAAACACAAATGGTCATTTCTCAATTAATTCAAGCAATCATTAAGAGTAGGTTTAATAACTATCTAAGACTCTCTAGATACAAATGTCATTGGCTAGGTAGTCTTAAAGCTAAGGAGAGTTGGTTCAGTCATTTAAACATACATCTTGTGGGCAGAAAATGACTAAGGTTCAATCCTAGAGTGATCAAGTCAAGAATAGCATTAAACACACTCAGTTAGCAAGAAAACACTTAGATCTACACTTAATCACCCTAGATCTACCTAACCCATGAATTCTAAAAGTGTCTACTCTTTAATCTCCATGAGAAACCTTAAATCCATGTTGGATTCAAGGCTAATATGTTAATGAGAATGAGAAACAAGATATAAGATGAAGTACTTCCTTAAAATGATAAAAAGATTTAAGCTTTTACAATTAGAAACAAGTTCTTGAGAGAAAATGAGATATATTAGGGTTTAGAGGCTAAAACTATTTATAAGAGCACATGCAATGGTGTACTCCACCCTAGAGTCCTTAGGATTAGTTTAGTATTATTATTTTTTTTTTTTTTTTTTAAATAGTTAAGGATTGGGAGTAAAAGTATGTGTCCAATGGTGTTTTCGAAGGTGGAGTCCTTAGGAATAAAAAAATATTTTTTTTTTTTTAATTTTTTTTTTTAAAATTAAAATTAAAATTTCATTAATTGCATGATTAGAAAAAAGATACAATGATTAAAAAAAGATACAATGATAAAAAAAAAGATACAACGATTAAAACAAAAAAGAAACAACGATTAAAAATAAAAAATACAATAATTATCAATCTTCATCACCAAACTTGTTCCAAATATTCTCGATCAAATCAGTTTTCAATCGTTCATGCATACGTTTATCACGAAGATCATTGCGAACTTCAAACATATTATTCAAATTTGTAGGCCTTTCGGTTTCCACCTGTGAACTCCTAGCGACGTCTCCTTCAAATTCAGATATATCGTATTGCATGTACCCATCTCGTTCATTTTCAACTATCATATTGTGTAGTATGATACATGCTCTCATAATCTTCCCTATCTTTTGTTTATCCAATGTAAGAACGGGGTTTCTCACAATTGCAAATCGAGCTTGCAATACTCCAAAAGCCCGCTCCACATCTTTTCGGGTTGATTCTTGAACTTTAGCAAATAACTCTTGTTTAGGACATTGAGGAAGTGAGATAGATTGGATAAATGTGGACCATTTTGGATATATACCGTCTGTGAGGTAGTATGCCAACTTATACGTATGTCCATTGACCACGTACCTTACCCCGGGAGCTCGACCTTCTAAAATGTCATCAAACACGGGAGACCGATCGAGGACATTGATATCATTTAATGTACCTGGAGGTCCAAAGAAAGCGTGCCAAAACCAAAGATCATGTGAAGCTACAGCCTCTAAGACAATTGTCGGTTTTCCCGATCCACGTGCGTACTGTCCTTTTCAAGCAGTCGGGCAATTTTTCCACTCCCAATGCATACAGTCAATGCTCCCAACCATCCCAGGAAACCCTCGTTTCTCTCCAATATCGAGTAGTCGTTGAAGATCTTCCGGTGTCGGTCGTCGTAGATACTCATCTCCGAATAACTGAATAATTCCGTTAGTGAAATTATGTAAACATGAAAGTGCAGTGCTCTCACCAAGTCGGAGATATTCGTCTACCGTATCAGCCGCAGAACCATAAGCAAGCATACGAATTGCTGCCGTACATTTTTGTAGTGGAGAAAGACCAAACCTCCCGGTTGCATCTCTTCTTTGTTTAAAGAATGGAATGTACTCCGATAGGCCATATACAATACGCAAGAATAAGTCCTTATTCATGCGGAAACGACGTCTGAATAGATGTGACGAGAATGTCGCTTCTTCGCTAAAATAGTCATTCCATAAACGGTTGTGTCCGGCTTCACGGTTCCGTTCTATGTAAGCACGTTTCTTTGACTTATGTTGCTGAGCCTCCAGTATGTCGTCGTATGTTTCTTCGAGTATTTCGTCGAATATTTCCTCCAGTCTTTCTTCCACTTCATCAGATGAAGAGGATGACATTTTAAGGGTTCTTGCCTTTAAAAAAGAAAATTGGTTAAGAATTTAAGGTATTAAAATTTAGTTAAGGATTGGTAAATTTACATTTTTAAATTTAGTTCTACATATTAGTTTCGATTTTTAAATTTAGTTTTACATATTAGTTTCCATTTTTAAATTTAGTTTTACATATTAGTTTCGATTTTTAAATTTAGTTTTACATATTAGTTTCCATTTTTAAATTTAGTTTTACATATTAGTTTCGATTTTTAATTTTAGTTTTACATATTAGTTTCCATTTTTAAATTTAGTTTTACATATTAGTTTCGATTTTTAATTTTAGTTTTACATATTAGTTTCCATTTTTAAATTTAGTTTTACATATTAGTTTCCATTTTTAAATTTAGTTTTACATATTAGTTTCCATTTTTAAATTTAGTTTTACACTGATTTGTTTCAAAATCTTGTTAATTTACTACACAAGTTTGGTTCACTAGTTTACCTAATTTACTACACAAGTTTGGTTCACAAGTTATATGCTACACAAGTTACTACACAAGTTATATGCTACACAAGTTACTACACATGTTACAAGTTTGCTACACGAGTTAGTTGATAGTGTTACCTATAATGATTGTAAAGCCAAGGAGGAGGAGGAACTTGAGATCGGAGGATATAAAGCCAAGCAATATAATCAACTTCTTGTTCTAAAACGAAAGCATTACAAGATCCAGGAACATGATAGATGGAGAGGAAACAAAGACAAGTTTTGATGGAGAGGATACAAAGATAAAAAGGAGATACATAGCTAGAGACAACCAGAGAAACTACTTATATAACATATTAGATAAACCCGTGACTTCCTTCACTTGAGGTAAACAACAAAAGCCTTCATTCACCCGTGACTTCTTTCAACCTTCACTTCATACACCCGTGACTTCCTTCCCACGACCTACTGCTGACCCTGCAATACACAAACAATAGTACACAAAACCCGTGAGCAAAATTTAATAATCTACAAGTACACAAACAAACATCAGTAACAACTTAACCTACAGTTAACATTATATCATCTGAGACATTAATTTCACTTTAAGAGCANTGACTTCTTTCAACCTTCACTTCATACACCCGTGACTTCCTTCCCACGACCTACTGCTGACCCTGCAATACACAAACAATAGTACACAAAACCCGTGAGCAAAATTTAATAATCTACAAGTACACAAACAAACATCAGTAACAACTTAACCTACAGTTAACATTATATCATCTGAGACATTAATTTCACTTTAAGAGCATTCTCCAATTCAGTCAGAGGCTCTTTTTTCCCGAGTAAACGTTCAAGCAATTTATTGTTAGCTACTCTTTCTTTAACTTCCAACACGCTCTGTAAGCGTGCCAACTCTTCTTCTCGAGCACTCTTCTTCTTCTTCTTGGTACCACTTTTGGCTGCCTTCACCCCGACTGGTCTTTCCTCTGCTTCTCCGACGTCTCCTTGTCTATCAACCTCCGCCTGCACTTGTTTGCGCTTTTGATTTCCTCCGTCCTTAGTGATATAAGTGGCACACCATTTCTGGTCATGCCTCAGCTCTCTCCAGGCATGTTCCATGCTGAATTTGACTCGATGATCTTTCTCAAAGAACCCTAAAGCAACAGTCATCACATCATCATCATTAGTGCCACTTCTCTGAGCCCTCAGAGCCGCGTCGTAGCACCCAGCGAACTTACACACTTGCTCATTTATTCTGGCCCACCTCTGCTTGCACTGCCCGAGCTCTCTAGGTACCGTACCAGCCAGATACGGGCTTGCGTTGTAATACTTCACTATCCTCTTCCAAAAAGCAACACCCTTTTNGTCATCACATCATCATCATTAGTGCCACTTCTCTGAGCCCTCAGAGCCGCGTCGTAGCACCCAGCGAACTTACACACTTGCTCATTTATTCTGGCCCACCTCTGCTTGCACTGCCCGAGCTCTCTAGGTACCGTACCAGCCAGATACGGGCTTGCGTTGTAATACTTCACTATCCTCTTCCAAAAAGCAACACCCTTTTACTCATTTCCGACCACTGAATCCTTACTTGTGTTAAGCCAAGCCCCAATGAGGATTTGATCCTCTTTCAAAGACCATTTCTTCCTCTCTTTGGAACTCGACTCAACAACAGGTTCAAAAGGATATTGACTATAAAGTAAGTTAACAAAACCAGTGTTGTTATCCATGGTTTAAGAAAGGTGTGTCGCTCTATTAGCAACAAAGTTCTTTAAGTAAGCAATCAACTTTTTCTTAAAAATTAAAGCAATTAAATTCTGTGCAGTTAGGAAGATAGGAAGCAAATAACTAGCATTTATCATCAATCAAATCCGTTTCTGTAATTAGTACAATTTAACAAGCTAGATACTTCAGAGAACTATTTTGAAACGCGGTAACATTTATCACCTATCAAATCCAAGCAGTTGCAACGGTAGAAAGCAATTCAAATTCATTAAATGAACAATTGCTTTAACTAGACTGGGTGTACCTTGTTAGTTAAGACAGTGTTGCTTTGAGACACTCTCCTTTGAAGCTAGTCCTGAAAAGAAAAGAGAAAAAAATGACAAGAAGATAAATGCATAATATTGGTAAATGTAATAAGAAAATGACATGAAGATAAAATACTCACCACGCAGAAACAACAACACGAAGACTAAGAAAACCAATACACACCACCAGCTTCTGCTCACTCCCATTAGCTTAACTCCTAATTTCCGGTTTGATAACTCAAATAAACTCTTCTCCACCAGCATCAGCTTATGCTCAGTCGAATTGCCTTCCTCCTTAAGCACCCTAAGTTGCCTCTGGAAGTCGCTAATCTCCTCCATGACTGCCACATCCCACCATTTCCAGATGTGGCAGTCTCCATCATCCTCGTTCAAGCACGTGATGTATCTCCTGCCGGGATGTTTACGAGTGGAGGATGTTGCAAGCACAGTGTCACCACCACAGTAGCATAACGTCGGGATTCCTTGATCTGCCTCTGGCTGAGTTGGATACTCAAATGGTTCTGGATTATTGTAGGTGCTCTGACCTTCATCTGCATACAAGTCCGCTTCTTCTTGTAGAAGGGAGGTAATGTCAATCGACTCTGATGATGACGAAGGCTGGCTGTATGAATAATCTTGTCCCATAATTGTTAACCTGCAAGAAATAACAAAAATTAATAACAAATTATTCAAGAAGTAGACCAACAAACACAACAATTCTCTATGATTCAATTAACGAGTAGTTACTTAACTCATATGATTAAGTAAACCAACTTCAGATGATTAAATCACAGAAACATAAAGGTTCAATGCAAAAACAACCTAAAAAACCCAAATTGTTGCAGTGCTACGCGAAAAAAGAAAGCTGACTATCAACAAGACAACCTAAAAATTAAACAGAGGCAAGTGCTAGCAAAACGAACTACACCAAACAATGATGCTACGAAAACATAAACGGTAGTAGAAAGATAAATCCCCACCTGCGATGAAAGCATAATCGTTTTCGAACCATTAAATAGAAACTCAAAAATCCCCAATTCCTTTTGAAACCCTAATTTCACACCAGAAATACCCCAAAACGATTAAAGATATATCGATTTGGAACAGACAAGCGCAAACGCAAAAACCCCCAATTTTTGTTTGAACCCTAATTTCTAAGTAGATCGATTTCTAACTAGATATTTGATCGGCTAATCTACATAACAGAGGTGCGATTTACCTTGTTCAACAGTCGGTCTCGAGTCACCCTCTTTCTTAATCGGAATCGCCTTGGTGTCGTGTTAATCGGAATCGCCTTTCTCTCGTCGCAGAGCTTTTTTTTTTTCTTTCCTTCGGTCGAGAATGACCAAAAGTGCTTCCTTTACCAAACCGTAAACATTCTCCCATCGAACCAAAACACGCCACGTACCCTAAGGATCAGGAACGAAAAATCCTTATTCTCGTATCAATCCTTCACTTTATTAACAAAAGAATTATTATTATATCCCCCCTTACATATGTTTAACCGCTAAGGACCCTGCATGTACCCCCATTGCATGTGCTCTAAGAGGTCTAAACTCGAGTTGGTTTGATCAGACTAAACCAGGTCAAACCTTGCAAATTGAATTTCACCGCAAGCTGACCTTCCCTGCGATAATTTGTCGCGGTCTTCTTCTCCGTTTCGCGGCCTCGCCATCCTGCGGTCGTCCTTGCGAAACTTCCCTGCCCAAACTGTCGACGCTTTGCCGCGACCACCACCAGCCCGATGCGGCTCCTCTCTCGAACCGTGACTCCATCGGACTAAGCTTCCTCGCGATGAAACAAAACCGAGATTAAGTCAAAGCCATCCACTGCAGTTTCTAATCCAGGCCTTCTCAGCTCCTCCGTCGTGCTCTCATCCATCCTCTGCTGTTCCACGACGTCACAAGACCAAAGCTTCTCGTAGTGATACAAACCCAAGATGAAATTGAAGCCATCCACTGCGGCATCTTGTCCAGGCCGTCTCAGCTCATCTCCGTCGTATTTGGGTCGAGCTCGTGCTCCAGTGAGCCATGCCGTCGGAATCGAGCAGGGTCGCCGTCGAGATTTGGAGCCACAGAGCTCGTGAGACAACAATGGCCAAGTTCTGGGATTTTACAAAACAGGTCCCTGAAGTTCTGCTTCTTTATAAAACGGCCCCTGAACCTTTCTAAATTGCAGGAATAACCCATAGACTTTTGAATGTGCAATTTAAACCCATGCGAACATTGAGAAATTGCAGCTTTGGTCCCTAAATTCTTGCTAACTTTGTTTCTGCCCCAAAGATTTCCTATTTGCAAAATATCCTTTCAAATTGACTCCAAACATTCCAATTGTGCACTCCATACCCTAATGCACACAAATGAACATATATATGCAAATGTAGACCACTAAATGCAATCTAAAGTGATTAAAAAGAAGTAAATAAGATGCTAAATATTATTAAAAACATGCTTTATCAATGATAATATCCTGATCTTAATGTGTAAAATGGTTAAAACTTTTCCTCCATTTTTTGATGTCATGGAACATCTAGTTCTTCATCGCCCATACGAGGCATTGGTTCGTGGACCATTTCATAACGGATGGATGTATCCCAACGAACGATCCATGAAACCTTTAAAAGGAAAAAAAATGAAATCTTGCACGGGTAGAAGGTTCAATAGTTAATGGGAGTTTGAATGAAGAAACATCTCAATTCACTTCATACTACTTCGGGTCCCAAGTCCGTACACGAAAAAGGGCTCCAAGCAGATATGATGATGGTTGTGTTGTGCCAACCTCTATTGAAAAGGATGTTCCAGACATATTCTGCCAGATTGGACATTTAGGTGGAAAACTAAAAGAAGTTTGGTGGTCGAGTACAGAAGACGCTCACAGTGCGCACACATATATACTTCTTAACTGCGAGGAGATGCATGAGTTTAAAAGGTAATTATTTAAAATTACTAATTTTTCTATTTATTTATATTATTTATATGACGATCGATCCTTTGGAAAAACAGCGATTTTGTTGCCTAAGTTGAAGAAGCTATACTAGGAATATCAAGTAATGATCTCAACAAAAGGAAAGAACGACACTTTGTGAAGTGGTTAAAAACACATGTATAAAAGTTTTTTTATAATTAATATTATGATATTGTATTATTAATAAATATATAAATATTTTGTACAGGTTGATTATGATGATTCATCCTATAGTGTGTGGGTTCATGAATTAATACAAGGTCCAGTTGCTAAGGTGACCACGGCACCAATGTATTTCACCCGAGGTTACACGTTTCACACTTATGAGTATGGAAGTCGTCGAGCAACATGAACTATGGAGTATGTGTAAAAGGTGAAACAGATTGTTACGAAATCTTACAAGAGATCATCGAAGTGGAATTCCTTGGTTTAGTGAAGATGAAATGTGTCCTCTTCAAATGTGACTGGTTTGACCTCACAGAGAATAGAGGTGTTCGGTATAACAAGTTTGGAGTTGTGGATATCAATCTCAGACAGAGGTACAGCAAAGTTTAGCCCTACTTTATGGCATCTCAAGCAGACAAGTTTGTTTTATTCCAATCCGAGAATTAGACAATCTGGAATATCTTGGTTAGCCGATATAAAAGTTACACCTCGTGGTCTTGTAGTGAGTGATGAACAACCACCTTTGCAAGGAGATGCCGTAAATGTAGTGGAAGTGCCTGAACAACGTACTGATGAAATTTTACTTGTTGATCCGCAAAACCTAGGATATAAAGATCTTCCAGATGATTTAGCGGACGAAGGCAACGGAGATGAATTTGAAGAAACTGATGACACGGATGATGGTTCGGATGATGACGAGAATAACATATAGTTTCGAGTTTGTATTGTGTATTATATTTTTCAATATTAATAAAGTGTTTTCTGAGATTATGAAGTTTGGAGTTTGAAATGATATTTGAAGTTTAAAGTTTGTGGTTTGAGGTTTGGGGTTTGTGGTTTCGATTTAAACAATTGTAGTCTCTAATTAGTCGTAAAATAACCTCTGATTTAAGACCAATTGTGATAATTTGGACCCAATGTCGTAGTAAAAGGAATGAGTCCCAAAGTAGACGTAAGATAACCTTTAATTTATGACCAAACAGATAAATTTGGTCCCTAAGTGGTTGTAATGTGTTGTGGACCCAATATAGTTGTAACTTAACCTCTAGGTTACGACCAAAATTAACTTATAAATATGTTACCCTCTCCATTCGAAAATTAAACAACAAAGAGATTTAAAAATAAATATTTAGGATGAAAATATCTTATTCAAATGTTCACATAGATCTATCAGAAGCCTGCATTTATCTTAAGTAACTGAATTTATCTGTAGCTTGAGACGAGTTCTCAGGACTCTGATATTTCTCTACGAGACATTTGGCATAAGGTTAATTTGTTAAGTAATTGAGTTTTCAAGTTAGTTAAAACTCAATTACTTTGTTTTTTTCGTAAGTGAACTGTAGTTGTAATTGGGATGTAAAATAATGGACCCTAATTGGTCGTAATTGACGTTTGTAATCCCTAATTGGTCGTAAATCCTGGACCCTAAGTGGTCGTAAATATATTTGGTCGTAACATAGTAGTAACGTGGACATATGTCGATCCTAATTGGTCGTAAAGCTTGGACTGTAATTGGTCGTAACACAATTTTGTTCGTAATGTCGAAGTTAATTACGACTACATTAAGACCACACAAAACTCCCTATATAACCATGCGAGTCGCAGAGCTCATTTCATCGCTCTTCCTCTCTCACTACCCACCAATTTCCCTGTCTAAAAGGTATGTTTTTTTTTAATTTAGTTTTAAGGTTTAGGTGGTTAGTTTAGAGATTTAGGTGATTAGTTTAAATTTTGGTTATTAGTTTAGGATGGAATTAGATTAGCTTTAGAATTATATTAGTTTTAAAATTATTAGTATGTGACTATTTTAAATTAATTGTGTCTAACTATGATTTTCTTTGTACAGTTTGATCGACGATATGTCTGGGAGAAAGAGATTAAGAAATCTTTCGGGCACAGCTCGACCTAATTATGGAGATACATTTCTTGGTTCTTTGGATCCATCAGCTTCTAGCTACGGTAATGCATTTGCCCGGGAGTTTTTCCCAGAGACCGACGAGAAGGGTAGATCATCGTATGTGCCTCCTGCTGATGAGTATGTGCATGTTTGACCTTCCTCCATACTATCCTCAGCATGATCATCCTCCATTTGATCTTCATCATGAGGTTCCTCTACACCATCAGGACGATCATCATCAACATCACCTGTATGCCCTCCTTCCCCCCAGGTGCTCCGCTTCCTATAGGTGCTCTGCCTCCTGGAGCTGCTCCGCCTCCTGCAGGTGTCCATCCGGATTTGCTTGTACCTCCGGATGCTCCCTATGCTAGATTCACAGTGGAAGATCTTCTCCAGATGCCGGGACGAGAAAGTTTATCCATTATCGATCCAGATCGACCACCCAACACTTCATGCTAATTACCTTATTAATTTTGATTTTCATTATTAAAATTTTAATTATATATTTCAATCTAATGTTTTTAAAAATTTTAAATTCTAGGTTTCCAACAGACAATCGTCTGGAACGGAGCATCTCAGACATCATCAAGGCAAACTTCCGGGAAGCGCATCCGAATAAGAAGCTTACACCAAACCACGTTCGGAGGACTTAATACAAATGCTATGCGGTAAATTATGGATATTAAATTATTAAATTAATATAATTATAATTTTATATTCGTTTGATTATTAATTTTTAATTTAATTAATTTTGCAGCAAAAATAGAATTGGTCTATTGGTGTCAACGAGAAGGTGAAGGAGGGGTTCAACGATAAGACCAAGGAATGCCTTAAGAACATTGTGGGCGATTGGAAGGAGAAGTGGAGGGTTATGCATGATAATGCAAAACCCATCTTTATCAGTGACCATGTTTGAACTGGCTTGAAGGCTTACTGGAATTTGCCTATGTCAATTCGAACATCGATCCGTTGCTCCAAGTGCCGATTGACCTGTGATGCTTAGGGTAATTTGCCTTCTCCCCACACTTCTGTACAGACTCCACACGCCGGGAAAGCCCTGAAAATTGTAAGTAGAACTAATTTTCTAATTTTCTAATTTTTAATTTGTTTTTAAATTATATATTAAATAAATTTATTATTGGATACATGAGTTTAATTTTAAATTTTTGTAGGCTGCTCGGGAAGGAGCCCCACCATCTCTTTCCCGACTTTATAAGTTGACGCACCAGCATGCTGATGGGACGTTTGTGGATCCTCGAGTAGAGAAGATCTACAACGATGTTGAGGCTCAGATCCAGGAGGTCCTGACCCAGATGTCGCAACAAGGTGAACCTGTCCAGTTAACCACCGTCGAACAAGACAAAAATTTTGAGGAGGTTAATTATTATTCAATTTAAATTATTAATTATATATAAATATTTTATTATATATGTACTATAACTTAAGTTATATTTTTTTATTGAATGAAGGTTATCCCGAAGAAGAGGGGACGGATGATCAATACGGTGAATGATGTCC